GAAAATTCCCGCAGAACGAATTAAATTCGTAAACAGAGGTATTACTGTATAAACTTTCTAGTAGATTTTTACGTCTGTTGAGTCTGCTACTTTCACTACTCAATTGAGGTCTATTACTACTAAGTGAAAATCAGAAATTGCAACAAAACCCAACTAAAAAATGACTTTAAGTTGTAATAATCAGCTTGGGATGCTGATATTCTATTCTAGCCTAAGAATAAGTACTGAAAAAAAGTCCCAAAGGCTGCCTGGTGCTGCTGAACTGGTGTACTGCTCTCTGTATTTCTCAAAATAGTTTTTTGCATTGATACATGTCCCCCATGGCAGCACCCACTCTTCATGCTCTTTGTTTGACAGTCCCTTGCCTATTAGCCTTGAAAATAGTCAGAATTGATTTTAAAGATCCCCCCAATTGGTTTCAGTGGGGTTTAGATTAAATTTGTCAATTACAGGACTTTACAATGAGTTTGGTGAACATAAATAATAACCAGTGCAGGTTAAGTGCTGACTAGTTGCATTTACAGATTTCCAAGATTACAATCAAAAAACACCCATGCTGTACGTGAAAATGATATTAAAACTCCAAAATTATTCAATATGCTGCACATGTGCAATCAGCTACTGCTCCAAACTCTGGAAACATTACTACTGTGGGGAATCAACAGCAGGGATGGCCAGACCTGCGTTGCTACACTTAGGAAACAGAGACCAGACTGTGTATGGTTTAACCACTTGCCTACCAGGCACTTATACCCCCTTCCTTACCAGGCCAATTTTCAGCTTTCAGCGCTGCCGCACTTTGATTGACAATTGCGCGGTCATGCAACATTGTACCCATATGAAATTTTGATCATTTTTTTCTCACAAATAGAGCTTTCTTTTGGTGGTATTTAATCGCCACTGGGCGCTTTACTTTTTGCGCTATAAATTAAAAATGTGCAAAAAATTTGAAAAAAAAAAAAAGTTTATTTGTTTCTTTTATAAAATTTTTCAAACAGGTATTTTTTCTCCTTCACTGATTTGCATTGATGAGGCGGCACTGATGGGCACTGATAGGCGGCACTGATGGGCACTGATAGGCAGCACTAAAGGGCACTGATAGGCAGTACTAATGAGGTGGCACGGATAGGCGGCACTGATAGACAGCACTAATTAGGGGTCACGGATAGGCGGCACTGATAGGCGGCACTGATAGGCGACACTGATAGGTGACACTGATGATGGGTACTGATAGACGGCACTGACTGGCATCACTTCTGGGCACTGACTGGCGGCACTGACTGGCACAACCCCTGGGCACTGACTGGTGGCACTGACTGGCAGCACTGCTGGGCTGCACTGGTGAGTGGCACTGGTGGGCAGCACTGGTGGGTGGGCACAGGTGGGTGGCACTGGTGGGCACAGGTGGGGTCACTGCTGGGCACAGGTGGGGGCACTGCTGGCACAGGTGGGGGCACTGCTGGGAACGGGTGGGCGGGGCTAGTGGGCGCACTGCTGGGCGGAACATGCGGGTGTCACTGCTGGGCACCGATCATCAGGGCACTGATCATCAGTGCCCTGATGATCGGTGCCGATCCCCGCTCTGACAACTGCCGGTTCTCGGCAGTACTTTCCTCACGATCTGACAGCGTGAGGAAAGTGCAGCCGAGAACCGGCACTTGCATTTCCCTATGATCAGCGTGTCATTGGACACCGCTGATCACGTGGTAAAAGGCCGCTGTGATTGGCCTTTTACCACATCACGTGATCAGCTGTGTCCGTAGGACACAGCGATCACGGAGATCGCAGGAGAGCGCGTTCTGGGAGGACGTCATATGACGTCCACTCAGAACTGGCCGGCCGCGGTGAAGCCGTCATTCGGCTATGCGCGGTCGGCAAGAAGTTAAACAGAGTTCCACTCACTCCTGTATCTGCTGACTTTTAAAAAACAGCCACTCACCTGTCCCACGATCCTGCGGTGCCTCCGCTACAGCCCGTTTCACTGGCCTTCCTATATTCCAGGCACTGGCATCTTAAGTGTGGGCACCCGGCTGTGAGAGCTTGCTGCTTCACAGCCGGGTGCCCACTGCGCTTCCTAAATGGCCCCGTTGTCTTCTGGGACCTGTCACGTGTCCCACAAGACTACGGGGAGGGAGGGTAGGAGGACAACTTCCGCTTCCGATCACCTAGGCCAGTGGTCAGCAAGCCGCGGCTCGCGAGCCACATGCGGCTCTTTACAAGCTTTAATGCGGCTCTTGTGTGCCGGGCGCCCGCTCCCCTCCCTCCTCTCGGGCGGCAGGGACTCTGCAGCGTGATCAAAAAAAAAAAAAAACAGCCAGGGCAGCGCGCTCAATGCAATGATTGCAGTGATTGGCTGTCAGGATGTGTGTAGGTGGGGCAGCGTGACGAACGTGAGAGGAGCTAGGCTCCTCTCACAGTACGCCCTGAAGACCGGAACGGCGCGGCAACACGGCGAGAGGAACGCGCGGAGCAAAGGTAAGTGAATTGACACAGGGGGGACTTGGCTTATTACTTGCTACTTACTTACTACTACTATATGAGGGATGAATTTATATGGGGGATGAATTACTATGGGGGATGAATTACTATAGGGGGGATGAATTCCAATGGGGGGATGAATTACTATATGGGGGATGAATTACTATGGGGGATGAATTACTATAGGGGGGATGAATTACTATATGGGGGATGAATTACTGTATGGGGGATGAATTACTATGGGGGATGAATTACTATATGGGGGATTAATTACTATGGGGGATGAATTACTATATGGGGGATGAATTACTATGGGGGATGAATTACTATATGGGGGATGAATTACTATATGGGGGATGAATTACTATGGGGGATGAATTACTATATGGGGGATGAATTACTATGGGGGATGAATTACTATAGGGGGATGAATTACTATGGGGGATGAATTACTATATGGGGGATGAATTACTATGGGGGATGAATTACTATATGGGGGATGAATTACTATATGGGGGATGAATTACTATATGAGGGATGAATTACTATGGGGGATGAATTACTATATGGGGGATGAATTACTATATGGGGGATGAATTACTATATGGGGGATGTATTACTATATGGGGGATGAATTACTATATGGGGGATGAATTACTATTGGGGATGAATTACTATATGGGGGATGAATTACTATATGGGGGATGAATTACTATGGGGGATGAATTACAATAAAAACTTATTGAAACTAAAAACAGTGTACCATCCTATGTATTTTCAGTTTTAAAAATGTGGCTCTCAAAATAAATTTCAATCGTGGTTTTGGCGAGATTTGGCTCAGTTGAAAAAAAAGGTTGCCCACCACTGACCTAGGCGATCACAGTGGAAGTGGGATTGTGTACCTGTCAATTGCAGGTACCCGCTCCCTAAAAGGTGCCAATTCTTAAAGCGGAACTTCTTCTTTTGGGTGGAACCCCGCTTTAAGTAAGATTTATTTACAGTGAAACTAAAATCCATCCAAACACCAGCAAACAGGAAACACAGCAAACGTGAGCAATAATCCCAGTGACAAAATACCCAACAACCTAACTATATTTTATACAAAATGAAGAACACAGATTACATTGAATACCAGAGATGAAAAGAACAGGGGAATGGGGAACCAAGGCTGGAATCAGGAACAAGGGGAGCATGTACAAGGCAGTAAGGTACAAGATAGGAGCAAGATATAGGTGCAAGACAGGAGTAGGAGCAGACTCAGCATTTACAGTAACATAAAGCATACATCTGGCTGGCAGGAAAAACACTGACACAAAAGGCACTAGTATAGGAGGAACTAAATACCCTTCCAGCAGCCTTCACCAGGGGGAGACTGATTACTGGGATCTGCTGGCTGCTGGGAGGCATCTGCTGGTGGACACTGGAACTACAACCCTCCGCCCAGGGAACCACAATGCCACCAGCAGGTGAACCAGGTCCTGACAAATACACTATATTGACCTAGAGTCATAGATTTAAAAAAGAGCAGCACCATTACCATTACTAGTAAACCACTTTAAAATATCAATATATGCAACAGGTCAATGTACAAATATTAACAAAGTGCATTCAATAGGGCTAAAAAGTGCTTCAAATAAAGTACTAAAGCAGTCCGTAAAGTACCTTGTGCTCTGTACGCCCTTCGGACAACTGCTGTTTCACATACCTTCTAAGGGTTTTCTTACTCACCAACAGGTAAATGACCTCTTATTTTGTGATTAGAAGTTCAATGTAAACCAGTATTCAAATAACATGCTTGTCTTTTTTGAAAACCCCAGATCAGTGCGATTTGGATGTTCAATTTCACTGTTGCTTGCGATTTTATTTAACAAACGTCAATGCAAGCAGCAATGAAATCACAGGAAAGTAGTGCAGGGACCTTTTTCAGAGTTGCAACGATTTGAACGGTTTCATTGCCACAAATGGGGTGCGACTTGTCATGCAATTTTTCAAATTGCATGGCAAATTGCATTGGTGTGAACCAAGGCTAAGGAAACAGCTACTACACAATAAAGTGAGGGATACTCAATCCCTTGCCACAGCTTTCATTACAGAGTCAACATAAGCAAATAGAAAACACTGTTACAAATATAAATACTGTATATATATATATATATATTCCCTTATAGAACCCCATACTTGACCAACTCTTTCAAGTAAACCAAAGTTTAAATAAAGGAGGGCCCCTGTGCATTAAGTTACATTAAGAGGTTGATTTAACCGCTTCGGCACCACCCTATAGCAGAATTTTTCCTACAGGGTGGCACGGGTGCGCAAAATCAACCTCTTAGTGTAGCTAATTCATATACCCAATGAGCCTTATTTTATTTTTTATATACATGATTTTGCATTTCCGGGTAGGGGGCGTGCGCTGGCTGCACAGCACAGCCATCCAAAGCAGTGTGCTGTCAGTGAAGCACACTGACACGGCCCCCTGTGTAAAACACTCCCAGCACCCAATTAACCCTTTGATCGCCCCTCATGTTAACCCCATCCTGCCCAGTGCCATTAGTACAGTGTCAGTGCTTTTTATTAGCACTGATCACTGTATTGGTGACACTGGAGATGTCAGTGACACCAAGTCAGTTCCCTCCAGTGTCAGAATGCCCACTGCAGTCCCATTATAAGTTGCTGATCGCCGCCATTACTAGTAAAAATGTAAAAACAAAATTCCAGTATCTATACCGCCATTTTTAAAAACGAAAACTTTCATGTAAACCAATTAATTTACACGTATTGAGATTTTGTTTTTTAGAAAAGACATGTAGCAGAATACATTTTGGCCTAAATTTATGATGAAATTTGATTTTTTAAATTTTAAATGTTTAATAGCAAAAAGGTAAAAAATATAGTTTTTTTCTCAAAATTGTCAGTATTTTTTTTATAGCGCAAAGAGTAAAAAAATGCACAAATACCACCTAAAGAAAGCTCAATTTGTGGGGAAAAAAGGAACTAAATTTAATTGGGTGCAGCGTTGCATGACCGCGCAGATTGCCAGAGTAACTCAGTGCCGTTATGCAAAAAATGCCCTGGTCAGGAAGGGGGTATATCCTCAGGAGGGCAAGTGGTTAACAAAACTGGAGAGTGCAAAATCTATTGTAGCTGTGCATGGTAGCCAATGAGCTTCTAACTTCAGCTTGTTCAATTAAGCTTTGACAATAAAACTTGGAAGCTGATTGGTGCACTAGATTTTGCATTCTTTAGTATTAGTAAATCAACCACTAAATTCTAATTCCTGAGGTATATAATAAGCGGTAGAGCTTGCTTCATAATGGCGTCCTGGATGTGAAGAAAAAAAAGAAGAGTTGTGACATCACTTTCGCCATTTCGAGCACACACCAGCTCCATAGCGGCATGGAGCAGTGGGGCTTCCTTTACATACTATCAGCTAGTAATTCTAGGCGCTAAGGAGGCACAACAGTATGTGAGTTCACAAATGTTAAGTGTTTTTGGGATCTTTTACTTGTTGCGCTATGATGGTGTTCCTGGTCTGTCTCTAATGCAGTACAATATGTGAAAACAGAATTAACCTGTTCCTGTAAGTAGTCACACAAGTGAAGGAGAGTGGAGTCTGATAAGGAGTTTAAAACTGGTTTATATTGACCTACTTATGACAAATACATTACCTGTTGGTGAGTGAGAAACCCCTTTGGGGCCACGTGAAGTAGCACTTGGTGGTGTGACGAACACAGATGTCAAATCCCTGCCCTTCTCACTAACTTGTGACAAAGGACTGGCCAATCCCACACTTAGATAGCAATGCCACTCTCAGCTGCACCCTGCACAAAGATTTTCCAGGTTGTGGGAATACAGTCTAGGTGCCAACAGCCTGAGATCGATTGTCACTGGGTTAAGTTAACTAAGCGATTAACCCTTTAAACTTCAGACTGCCACCAGATAGTTTTGTGCCTATATTTCACAATATTAGCAAGAACAAGTATAAAAAATAAACATCTATAGGGGGTGGAGCCTGACTATGGCAGCGGCGGAGAGCTCGCGGTAGGAGCTCTCGCACAAGTCTCCTCTGACCGACCCCCCTTTGGCCTCAAATCCCCCCAGATGTACGGAGCTCCAGATGGCTGAGACTTACCTCGGCCTGGTGGGCTTCCCTGGATGAGCGGCGGCCCGTGGGAGGAAGAGCCGGGGAGCTGGAGACCAGCGGAGAGAGGCTGGGACGCTGGGTCTGGTTGCCGGGAGACGAGGAGGCGTGGCCGGGTCACGTGACCAGCCGCGGTGCATCCTTGGGAAGCAGGGAAGCCGGCCGGCCGGCCGAAGGCTGACAGGGAGCAGGAGAGATACTGAGGCGTTGGACGGCCAGCTACCCCTGGAGCCCTATCGTGGCGCTGACAGGGAAGAACAGCTTTGTCCAAGGAAGAAGAGAGTGGAGGAAAGCCCTGGAGGGTCCCCCTGAGAGGAGGTGGTGAGGAGCTGACCTGCTGAAAGAACTGGAGGAGGGAGCCTGTAGCCGTCTCACGAGCAGAAAAGCGCAAGGAGGGTGAGTGAGTCTGGCTGTGGCTTCACACATAAAGCCTGTATTTGAGTCAGTGGGGAAACAGAGAGTGAGAGGAAAAAAGGGAGGGACCCCCAGAGAATATAAACAAGGAGAAGAATGTAATGTGCAGGCAAAAGTTTAAAGAAAAGTGAATAGACAGGGCTGGGACTTCCATATAATATTAATTGTCTCTTTTTAAATACAAGTCTATGAGAGAAAAATAAAAGACACAGAAGAGATGAAAAACAAAAGTGCAAAAGGAACCGGGCCTAAAGGGACCCAAACGGGTACAATTAAAAATCCCAGGGAAACGTGACCCCGGAAAGGCCCCAGAGTAGAAGCGATAAAGGAGAATTAGATCTAAATCTGCAAAATAGTCCTAGACAGTCAATGGATTTGGATATCACTAGTCAACAAATATCAGAGTTGGAAAAAGATCTACAAATTCCAAATAAAAAAGAGATGACAAAAATGTTTAAAGAATTGGAGAGAACAATAAAGCAAGAAATGGTAAATATTCGGAATGACCTGGGGCAGATATTGTTAAGAGTGGAAGAAACGGAGCAGAAAGTTAATAATCAGACCCAGATTATTTCCGAATTAGAAAAGAAGATAATCAATATGGAAAAAGTCCAGGAAAAACTGCAGTATAAGGCGGAAATCCAAGAGAATAGAGAAAGAAGGAGAAATATAAGGATAAGAGGGGTATCGAAAAGTCTAAAAGGAGAAAAACTGGATGAGGCGGTTTGCAAAATACTGAACTTTATAACGGGAAACTCTGATATGGAAAGGACTAATATAGCAGGAATCTCTAGAAATGGGAAACTCCAGGGGAACTATGAGAAGGATAGGCCGAGAGATATACTGGTTAAATTTTATGAACTTCAGCAAAGGGAAAGAATCTGGAGGAAAACTAAGGGAAAGCCAGTAATAAAATATGGAGAAATGAATATCCAGATATATGCGGATTTGTCATCGGAGACTCTCCGGAGGAGGAGAGCTCTGAGGCCTTTGTTGGAACAGATGAAAAAACAGAAGGTTCAATATAGATGGGGGGTACCGGAGTGCTTAATAGGATGGAAGAATGGAATAACAGCCCGTTTGAGGTTCCCAGAGCACTTGAGAAACTTTTGTGATAGAATTGAATTACAAAGAACTGAAATTAGTAGTTGAGAAGAAGAATCCGGGGGGATTTAGATTAAAAAGTGGGGAGGAGTGGCGACTGGTGGGGGGGTGGGGTGAGGAGGGGGAGGGAAGAGGAGAGAGGATTAGAACTTTTTTTTTTTCTTCTCTACTTCCCTGCCCCTCCTCTTTCGCCTTCTCTTCCCTCATGCTTCCAGCTTAACTCCTTCTTCTTGAGAAGTATATGTAGAATGGGGGTCAACGGGGGGTTCGGATAGAGGGGAAGTTGTCCATGGGAGGAGTGAAGCCCTAAGGATTAAATCAAAGCTGGATATTATCTCCACAAATGATTGTTAGGCAAATCGTAGGCCTAAAAAGAGGGGGGAGGGAGGGAAGGAGTGGGGGGGATGGACGGGGTTGGAGGGGAGGGCGAGGAAAGGGATCAAGGGGACTATTGGGAGAAGGGGGGAGGGGTGAGGGAGAGGTTTTAGGGACAACACTCTGCATGATGGAAGGGAAAAAACAGGGATATACGACATATGGAAGATCTACGATTTATAACATATAACGTAAAGGGATTGAACTGTCCTGGGAAGAGATTTAAACTATTCAAGGAGTTACAGCATAGAGAGGCTTCGGTGGTATTTTTGCAGGAGACACACTTTGAGATAAAGTCAAATATAAAGCTGTACTCTAGAAATTACCCAACATGGTTTTATGCGGATTACCCAATCAAGAGAGCTAAGGGAGTAGCAATAGGGTTTGCAAAAAATGTAAGGCTGGAGATAGAAGAGAGAGAGGTAGATCCTGAGGGGAGATTTTTGTTTTTGAAGGGTAGACTACAAGAGCAGGAATGTACAATTGCGAATATCTATTGCCCAAATAAAAGACCAGAAGCTTATCTGAAGGGAGTCCTGAGAAAACTGATGGCCTTTAAGAAGGGACGCTTGATAGTGGCAGGGGATTTGAATTTTTGTATGGATCCACAAATGGATACGACCTCTTCTGTGCAACGAGAGGGAGGTAGAGCTCTGAGAATCCTGAAGAGATTGATACAGGAGTGTCAACTGGTCGATATTTGGAGAGTGATTCATGGAAAAGAGAGAGACTATACCTTCTTCTCCAAAGCACACGAGATGTACTCCAGATTGGACTATATATTGGTAGATCATCAACTTATAGAAATGGTAGATAAAGCAGAAATAGAGGCGATGTGCCTTTCAGATCATGCCCCTATTACACTGAAAGTGAGGTGGGGAAGACGATTGACAGTTGGGATAGGTTGGAAGTTGAACGAGGCTCTTCTCCTGGATCAGGAGGTGGATCAGAAAATTAGAGAAGAGATTGAAAGATTTTTTCAAGAGAATGAGACAGGGGAGGTGTCGGTGGCTACAGTATGGGAGTCCCATAAGGCCTATATAAGTATATTGATTGCATTCGGGGCAAAAAAGAAAAGGGAAAGAAGAGAAAAAAACTTACTGGGTTGCTAAAAGAAATATTTGACTTGGGGCAGATACATAAAAGTAAAAGATCAGAAGAGATAAGACAGAAGGTAATAAAAAAGAAAAGAATTAGAGCTACTGATGGAGGAGGAGAAGAGAAGAGTTTTTCAACAAAGTTGCAAGTGAGAGATATAGATGGGGAGACAAACCAGGAAAATATTTAATGAGAGCCTTGAGGGAAAAGAAAAATAGGAACTATATAGAGAAAATAAAAAACCCCAAGGGGGAAATGGTTTATTCTACTAAAGAGATCATTAAGATGTTTAGAGAATACTATAGTAAGCTGTATAATATTGCCTCCCAAGATCCAGTAAATATAAGCGGGAATGAGAGAAGAGAGAAAAGATGGGAATATTTAAAAAACGCAGGACTACCGAAGTTAAGTGAAGATCATCTCAATTCCCTAGATTTGGAAATTATGCAGGAGGAAATAATAAGAGCATTAAAAAGTACTATGACGGGGAAAAGCCCAGGCCCAGATGGTTATACAGTGAAGTACTATAAAAAATACAGTGACTT